CTTAGTTTGATTTTGTTTATACTGATAATATCTCAGCGCTGTAATATCAAACATCATATTATTTTGTTCCATTGTCCATGACAGACACCAAAATTCGTCACATATGCTCCATGTCGAAAGACATTAATTTCGTTGAATAACAATTTAATGACTCACTTTTTTCTGAATAAAATAAACAGCGACTTTCGTACTTATATACAATACACTGTAACAGGCCCTGATCTAATACCTGGTTATGTAACTCATTTAAGACCGGATTTCACAGCATCTTTCTCCACCTTCTTTTCTTAGGTATCTAAGGCTGCCAAAGGTCGTAAAATCTGGTCCTGAAGGAGTTGTGTGTTATGTTTATAATGCATAATGTATAAACAAAGTATTGATGCATATTATGTCAAATTAGTCTACAGTTAAACTAATGTACCATTAAAACAAAAATTGTCTCGCTTCTCCCGCGCATACATTTTTCTTCTTCTTCCACTCTCCAATCCATAAGTTTCGGTTTCATTTACGTTGTTCATTGCTTATTGAATGAACTCATATCCTGTCAAGAACGGAATCCACAGGACGTTGATTTCGATCAACAGCAGCAAGTTATCGCGTCTCTAATGTCTTAGATAGCAGACTAGAAATCTGTCTCTTGTCGTTTACTTTGTACAATAAAGTAAACGGTTGCGGAACGTTTGAAATCTCTTGTCGAGCAACATAAAGTGACGTCGCTTGTCAACAGGCCATCGACAACGTTTGGCTAGGCCCTCGGTTTTAGCAGTGAGGTTGCAGGCAGACTCATACCCTCTGATGATCAATGTCTAACTGAGGGGCAGAGTCAGTCCTTATAGCTGCATTTTGCTGCTTGCGATTTGAAACCAGTAAAACCAGTGGCTCGGCTATGTCCGATCACAGCAGTGAAGCAGGCACGAATCGACGGAGAAATTTCGAATATCAACCGTCAAGCTTAGAAAACCATTATGTACGTAGTCCGGCCCTGACTTGCAGCATTCGAGCTTGCCTGTACAATGTTTTACTTAACGGCAATCCCAAACATCCGTTGTGCGGCATAAAGGGGGACATAACTTTTCGTCCGATAAAGTACGTTATGAAGCTTTGCTTTGTTTTGCACGTTACTCCTTGTAGTA